GAGGAGAAATTTATACTGAGGGATAACTATACTGTGTTTGCAGTTTGAAAGTCACAATATCTTGGGATTTCATTTGCTCATTTGTGTTGTGAGGCCTTTAGTTTATTTGGTCTCAGAGCTTTGCTAAGTTTCTCATGTTGACCTTGAACGCACAACCCTCATTTCAGCTTCTCAAGTAGATGAAATTATAGACCCATGCCACCATGATCAGCTTTATAATATCTTTCAGTATTAGTTTCATACAAATTTATGTACAAATTCAAAGCTATCTCAATTACAACCTGCTGGGGTTTTATTTTTCTATAAAAATGACAAAATAATTCCAAGTTTCATATGAAAAAGCAAATGATATAGAAAACTGAAGGCAATTTGGACTAATAAAAATGTGAAGAATGGTCTTAAATGTGACTCTCACCTGTGTCATTGTGTCTAGTCCATCTCTTTTCCAATGCAGGTGGAACCATCACCAAGATGCAGATTTTCAAGGAAACCCTTGCAGAGAAGACCATCATGCTCCAGGTTGAACCCTCAGGCACTCTAGAAAATATAAAGGCCAAGATATAGGATAAGGAAGGAATTCCTCCTGATCAGCAGAGGCTGCTCTCTAGTGATCAGTTGGAAGATGGCCACACTTTGTCTGACTACAACATTCAAAAGGAGTCCACCCTTTATCCTGTGTTGAGACTTCGTGACGTTGCTAAGAAAAGGAAAGAGAAGTCTTATACCATTCCAAGAAGAATAATTGTAAGAGAAAGAAGATTAAGTTGACTGTGCTGAAGTACTATACAATGGATGAAGATGGTAAAATTAGTTGCCTTCATTGAGAGTGTCTGTCTGATAAATATGGTGCTGGAGTTTTTATGGCTAGCCACTCTGGCAAACAATACTGTGGCCAAGTGTTGTCTGACTTACTGCTTCAACAAACCAGAAGACAAGTAGTTGTGTATGATAAATAAAAAGACAAGAACTGAAATAAAATGTGAAGAATGACACTAACTTCAGCGTTTATTACAAAGCTGCAGTAAGTAGGCTGTGCTATCTATTGATAAACAGATCAATAGGATGGAATGAATGGTGAACAGTAGACGTGCATAAGATGTCAGTTGGGTTTTAAGAGACAGAAGCAATTCAGTTGAGAAAGAAAAAAATCTTTTGTCTAGATAATGATGCTGTAACAATTTGATAGGCATGTGCAAACAGTGAATTGTGATCTATACCTGGAACCATACACATTTGAATTTAGTTCAAAATGAATCCACCCATTTGAAATGTAAAATAAAAACTATAAAATCTTTATAACCTTGAATCTGATAACAATGACTGGGGAAATAAAGAGTTGTTGTATTTAATTAAAATGAAGAAGTTTTGTTTTTTTGTTTTGTTTTGGTTTGGTTTGGTTTTTTGCCTGTTGAAAGACACTATTAAGAAAATTTAGGGGGCTGGAGAGATGGCTCAGAGGTTAAGAGCACTGACTGCTCTTCCAGGGGTCCTGGGTTCAATTCCCAGCAACCACATGGTGGCTCACAACCATCTACAATTCAATCTGGTGTCCTCTTCTGGCATGTAGGCAGAACACTGTATATGTAATAAATAAATAAATCTTTAAAAAAATAGAATTTAGAGTGGCCTGGAGAGATAGCTCAGTGATTAAGAGCACTGGCTGTTCTTCTAGAGAACCTGGGTTCAATTCCCAGCAACCACATGGCGGCTCATAACTGTTTGTACCTCCTGTTCCAGGGGACCTGACACCCTCACACAGACCTACATGTAGGCAAAACATCAATGCACATAAAAACTTTAGAAATAAATTACTTTTTAAAAGAAAATTTAGAGGATGTGAGGGCGATCTGGCTGTGATGTCTGTCACCCCACTGATCGCCAGGACTGATTTGTCTGATCGGCTGGCCATGCGGGTGTCTCCTTCCTTCCTCACTGCTCCAGGAGCTTCACTCCTCAAGCTTCCGCTCTGTAAGTCAGTCCGTGGAAGAGAATGAGCTTCCCCCAATAGAGGAGGACCCGCCTTCAGCTGAGGCTATAGGAGTAGCTGCGCTCTCCTGCTACAACCTCCAAACAAGTTCCCAAGAAAATTCAGAGATAAGTCAGACTGAAAGAAAGATATATCCGTGACTCACACATCTGATAAAGATCCCACATTCAGAGTGAGTAAAGAAAATAGCCAAGTCAGATGTCAACTTCATCGAACTTCAAACCTCAAATCACTACTTTTTCAAGATAGTTTTCAGTCAAGAAAACAGAAAGTACTGCAATTTTCTTTTCTTTTCTTTTTTTTTTAGAGATTTTTTTTATTTATTATGTATACAGCCTTTTTGCCTGCATGTATTCCTGCACACCAGAAGAGGGCACCAAATCTCATTATAGATGGTTGTGAGCCACCATGTGGTTGCTGGGAATCGAACTCAGGACCTCTGGAAGAGCAGCCAGTGCTCTTAACCGCTGAGCCGTCTCTCCAGCTCCCTACAATTTTCTTATAGATAGAAAAATTCTCACTTTCTAAAATATAAGGTCTGGGCCGCGGCAGTCATCTTACAGGAACTCGCCAAAATGACGAACACAAGGGGCAAGAGGAGGGGCACTCGTTACATGTCCTCTAGGCCTTTTGGGAAGCGTGGGGTTGTTCCTTTGGCCACATACATGCGAATCTATCTACCAGAAGGGTGATAGTGTAGACATCAAGGGAATGGGCACTGTTCAAAAAGGAATGCCCCATAAGTGTTACCATGGCAAAACAGGAAGAGTCTACAATGTCACCCAGCATGCTGTGGGCATCACTGTAAACAAGCAAGTTAAGGGCAAGATTCTTGCCAAGAGGCTTAACGTGCATGCGGAACGAGCACATCAAGCACTCTAAGTGCAGAGACAGCTTCCTGAAGCGGGTGAAGGAAAACGACCAGAAGAAGAAGGAAGCCAAGGAGAAGGGCACCTGGGTTCAGCTAAAGTGTCATCAGCCTGTGCCACCCAGAGAGGCACACTTTGTAAGGACTAACAGGAAGGAGCCTGAGCTGCTGGAGCCCATGTCATATGAATTCATGGCCTAATGTACAAAAAGAAATGAAAGACTAGACTGTAAATAAATAAATAAAATATAAGGTCCAAGGAGAATTTGAAAGGAAATATTCATACATGTGTGTATGCGAACACACGCATACAAACATAATACATGCAAACATAGATATATTTGTGCATATATGCAGACATACATACATTCATGAAAACATATTACACATGGAAACACACACATCTGCATACACTGAAAATAAAACTGAATATGAGAGTGACTGTAGGAGTAGAGGGAAAACTTAGAGCAATTGGACACAGATAGTATTTTTTTAATTGAACTGACTTAATGGTAGGTACTTTTGCCAACCAGGTAATTCTTTCCATTCAAAGACTTTCATGCCATTAGGAAGGTTTCAGAGCAAGGATAAACTCTTCTGTACCAACTGCTGCTCTGGAAAAGAAGGGAGGGAGGCAGAACTAAATTAACCTTTCAATGCCAGGGGAAACATGTTTCTTTAGGCTAAAATAGGAAACAATGTTTTCCCAATATTTCTTCAGGCAACAAATCCTTAGATACTTGAAGCCCTGCAGAATTCTTTTAATGGTTATTTCTGCTTCAGTGATCTTAAAATTAAATGTATTTTCGTGATCTTTAACTCATTGACATCAAGCTGTCTGCCTCGGCCAAAAATGACCTCACAAAAGAATTGAAGCTACGCGGATTAACCAGAAAGTGTCTTGGTGAAATCTGGGTAGACTCAAGTCCTCTCCTGTCTGCAAAGCACGCTTGGGGGCTCTAAGTCCATTGAACTGCTTTGGGTAATGACAATTTCTCATCCTTTGACAGCCAAACAGAAGATGAAGTCCACTGACTGTCAAAGATGACATCTGTATTTCATCACACAGGGCAGCAGTTTCATGTTCTCCTGAAGGATGAGTGGCAGCAGATTTGCTCTTTTTCAAAAATGATTTCATTTATGTTTATTTTATGCGTATTAGTGTTTTATTTGCATGTATGTGCACCAAAAAAAAAAAAAAACAGAAGAAGGCAAGGGGCTGGATCTCCTGGAAGTTGGGTTACAGGCAGTTGGGAATTGCTATATGGATTCCAGGAATCAAGTCAGTGTCTTTTTGGAGAGCAGCAAGAACTCTTTTTCCACTGAACCATCTCTCTAGCTCTCAGTAGTTCTGTCCTAGTTAAAGAGCACCTTTTGTATGCTGGGTGTGGTAGCGCACAAGTTTAATCTCACCACTAAGGAGGCTGAGATGGGCAGGGATCTCTGTGAGTTCAAGGGAACCTGGTCTACATAGCAAGATCCAGGACAGCCTGACCTACATAATGAGACTCGGTCCCACCCCCTCCCCCAAGAAGGAACTTTTAAAAATTTGTTCCTGTGGACAGTTTTACATATCTTTGCATGCCTTTGCAACAATTTCGCACATTTTTCAAGGGTGACTATTGATTCCTGCTTAAAAATGGAGATGAAACCTAAGGATAAGGAAAATTTTTATGCTGTATACAAATTTTAAAATGAACTTTCTTTATTGCAAATCACATCAAACACAGTTTATTGATAATTATGACCACGCGGGATGCACATCCTTGTCTTCCTTGACTTCTCAAAGCCAAAAATCCCTGCAGAGCCAGGCACGTGGTGAGCGTCTATACTCTCAGCACTTGGGAAATCACACAAGGGTACACAGGGAAATCACTACTCCTCACCACCAAAGTAGACAGGGAAGAAAGGAGGAAAGTGGATGTGGGGGAGCGAAGGGTCATAAAAGGAAAAGAAACGTAAAAGAAAAGAGAAACTATGCAAAAGAAATGAAGCTTGAATAGTGGGATTTCAGGCATTTCTCAGAATGAGGGCAAGACTAGTGGGGTGCCTAGCTCTGAAAGGTCACCCAGGCAGCTCCCTCCACACCCTTGCTTAAGCCTGTTCTTGCACGGTCTACTGAAAGAAGCCACAAATTCGGAACGGTTTTGGTTTTGTTTCGTTGTAGCTGTTGTTTTGTTTCATTTCCCTCCTTCTGCTTGAGACAGAGCCCTGCCATGGAGCGGGAGGAGATCTACAACTATCTCTTGCCTCAGCCTGGGTGCTGGGCTGACAAGGTTGTGTTATTACGTCCATCTCAGTGGTGGATTTTTGCAAGAAAGTGTTTCCTATCAGTCTGACACAGTGGAGGGCTTTGATGGTAACAGGACAGTAATGAGGCTCTCTCTCATCTTCTTTGTCCGAAGCAGTGGGTCCCAACATGTGGGTGGAGACTTCCTTTGGGGTCAAAGATCCTTTTCAAAGAGGTCCATATCAGATACCCTGCATGTAAGATATTTGCATTATGAGTCATAACAGTACCAAAATTACAGTTATGAAGTAGCAATGAAAATAATTTTATGGTTGCAGGTCACCACAACATGAGGAACTGTATTAAAGGGTCACCACATTAGGAAGGTTGAGAACACACATGCACAAATACATATGTGTACACCAGAATACATATCAATAAACACATACTCACACATAAAATGTTACTACCATGGTGTTATTGCTTGACATCCGTGACAATCATCCTTTTATATGTCCATTTGCCCCCATGTAGTCCTGTACCTACTAAGCCTAAAGATTAGCTTCCTAGTCTTCTAAACCAACAATGAAGGATTTACATTATTTATCTCCATAATGGCCTCAACCTCCCATTGCTCTGGTGTACTTACCTGAAGCTGCACCACAGTGTCTATAATTCCATGTTGAATTTCATGAGTGAGCCCTTAACTTCAAGACAGAAATGATTGACTGTTTCTGTCTGGTCATAGTTAAGGATTTGGTTTCTTTGACTTTTTGGCTTCTCCTGCTGTGCTAGGATCCTTACTCCAAGGGACATAGTCCAGGTAGAACATTTCACATCATCACTATGTCTTACATGATATGCTTCCTTGCCTAGTGTCTGATAGCATGGATATGGCTAACAGCTTTCCAGGACTGCAGATTCTTCTACTGATTTTGCTCACATTTCAAGTGCACCTGTGTTACAAGGTGATGGTTTCATCTCCATTATCTCGATATATGTAGACAGCTAATGCAGAAATTTATACGGCAAAGAAAAAACCAGTGCATTCTGGGGATTGGGACGCTGGCTTAAAGCAAAGTGGGGCATGGCAGCCCATTGGCTGTGAACTTTGCAGAGGTGTTAGTTCATGTCTAGGAGATAGATGCCATCTTCATGAGGTATGGTGAGCCTTTTTTCCTCCCTAAATCACAATGCACTAACCCTCTCTTTTAGGGTAATTCCTCTCAGGACCCTCTTGAAAATTTTATAAGGAGTGGAAAGTGTTAGAAACCACAGTTCAAGAAGCAAGTGAGGTGGTTCAGTGAGTAAAGGTGCTTGATGAGCAAGGCTGGAGACCTGAGTCCTACTCCCAGAGCCAACACAAAGGTGGAAGGAGAGAGCTTACTTCATAGAGCTGTCCTCTGACCTCACATGTGTGCTATGGCACACAAAACCATGAATGTGCGTGCACACCACACACACACACACACACACACACACACAATTTCGAATGACATTATGATGCATCAGAGAAGGCAGACCTGTTGTGAGTGAGCATGCATGGTCATTTGGCATGTATGGTAATTTGGAAAGTGTGCTATCACATTACTTTCTAATATAGTGAAGAGAACCTGGGTACTCCATGGGTCATCACCCTCAAAGAGGCTTTCTGACTCTCAGGAGGCACAGCTACCTAGACATGGCTGCACTTTTCCTTGGATCTCTCATGTCTAACCCCTTGCCTACTCCACATCCCTGGAGTTTGTAAAGACATTCAGGAAAAGAATGTCAAAGGTAAACATTGCTTCATCATTTGAATATTTGGACATAAATGTCTCATTCTTGGCTTTCCTGTTTTGATAGATTTCATCTGAACTTCTGATTCAACTCTTCAGAGTCAATTGTACCAGAATCACTGTTTTTTTCTTTTTTCAGGGAATTGTTCTTACCTTCTTTGCCTGTCACAGGGGGCTTTTTGGCCTATGAAATATTAAAAAGTAAAAGCACATTAGTAGTTTATTGGGCATAATGGAAAAGGACATATTGAGGACATAGATATTGCTGATAAAAAACAAGTTACATGGTTCTGTCACCCAACAGGGCTGTCAGCCTGGTGCAGTGAGCTCTGGCAAGTCCCCTGATTTCCTTATTGCTGTGCCTGCATCATGGTTTCTATATATAGCAATCTTACATCTAGTATATCATTTCATTACCAATTAAAGAAACAAGATGCAATATATCCCTGGTCTCCAGCTCCTCGCTGCTAGAAACAGCTACTACATCTGACTGGATACCCTCTGGCTTCCCCCATACATCAATCATTTTGCAATTAGAAACCAACCATTACCATTAAGATCTGCATCATTTGACCTCATTATCTTTAACATCTCTTCTTCCTCAGTGAGCATCCAGCTGATGGCATCTGTCCCACATAGCTCCCATCTGGAGAGCCAGGAGTCCTGTTGTTTTTTTCCCCAATTAACATATAACAGTCACTTTCATGAAGGAGGATTTAAAAACAGCAACAAATATTCGATTTAACTGGACCTCAGAACACATCAGTTTTTTAAAACTTCACACTCTGCAAATGCTAAAATTAGAAACAGTAAAGCTTGCATTTTTAGGGGGAAGTCATGTAGTTGATATCCTTTGTCAGAAAGGCTTGTGTAGACTGAAGTTTCTATCCCACCTGATCTCACAGCTGTTTAGCCCCAAATAAACACACAGACACTTATATTAATTATAAACTGTTTGGCTGATGGCTCAGACTTCTTATTGGCTAGCTCTCTCTTAATTATTAATCCATTTCTACTATTCTAAGTATTTCCACATGGTCTTGGCTTACCAGAGAATGCTCCAGCATGTTACCCCTTCTCTGACTACATGGCATCTTTCTCTCATGGCCTCTTTCTGCCTTCCTCTCCCCAGAATTCTCCTTGTCTGGTAGTCCTGCCTATACTTCCTGCCTGGCTATTGGCCAATCAATGTTTTATTCATCATCCAATAAGAGAAACAAACATATATACAGAAGAACATTCCCCAATTAGGTTTAGGTTTGTGGCCTTAGTTGATTAATAAATTGCCCATTTATTGCTTTTCTCATAGTTGAATCCTACACGTCCTGATGGTTCAATAATGTACATTTTAATCAATGATGGCTTTGCCCTGGAACAGAAATGCCAACATGAGGCTAAATGTGTTTTCTGAGGACAGAGTTCAGCAGAGTCTCTCAGTTACAGGAAACAACAGTCACATGAGACTTGGGCATCTCTCTCAGCTAAGTGTTGGGAAGAGAAAACAATCAAGAGATGCTTGTAGTTAGGCAGTGGTGGCGAATGCCTGTAATCTCAGCACTCATGAGGCAGAGGCAGGTGGGTCTCAGTGAGTTCTAGTTGAGCCTGGTCTGCAAAGTGAGTTCTAGGACAGCCAGGACTACTATACAGAGAAACCCTGTCTCAAGAATAAAGAGAGAGAGAGAGAGAGAGAGAGAGAGAGAGAGAGAGAGAGAGAGAGAGAGAGAGAGAGAGAGAGAGAGAGAGAGAGAGAGAGACTTGTATTCATAAATAGCTTTCTGATCACCTATGCTGGGCATGTTGAGTTCGGTACCAATCAAGCTAACTGCACAGTTAGGTGTTTATGTTCAGAAATTGTGTCTGTTGACATCTGTATTAGTTAGCTGTGTGTTTGTTTGTTTGTTTGTTTGTTTGTTTTGTCAACATGACACAAACTAGAGTCACCGGGGAAGAGGGATCATCAGTTGAGGAATTGTCACTATCAGACTGGCGTGTAGACAAGTCTGTGGGACATTTTCTTGATTAATAATTGGTGTGGGCAGTACCACCCTTGGGCAGGTGATTCTGAGTTGTATAAGAAAAGTAAAGGTATCTGAGAAAACCATGGGGAAGCAAATCAGCAGTAGGATAGAATATCATTATCTTTTTTTTTCAATTCAAGATGCAATCCAAGAACATATTATTCTTCCCCCAAATGAATGTCATTAAAATTATAGTAGAACAAAATGGAATAAAAGCTAACATGTTCAAAAGAGACTTTTGCAGATAATAGAGTTTAATGTTTTTCTGGAATATAGAGGGAGAAGTTGCTATTTTATTTAATATTGCTTGAGGAGACTATAGCCTAGTGCATATGTAAACATATGAGAGAAGGGAACCTGTCTTAGTTATTTTCTGTTACTGTGATAAAATACTCCAATGTGATTATAGGCTCAAGGTTGGCAGAAAGGTTTGTCAGAGGACAAAGAAGAGCTGAAGATAACCCGGGCACACCAAAAGCTGGTTGTCATCTAATCCCTCGTTATTTGTCCCTGGGTGAGAAGGCAGCATTGCACGGCGCTAAGGAGATGACTCGACTGGGTGAGTAGAGACAGCGCTGCTGTGTGGTGAGTCTCCAAGAAGAAGTCTCTTCTTATTGGCTTCCAAGCTCCACACATGCACGCTTATCCCATCTGGCATTTTTTATAAATGGAAATGTTGGTCTTAGAGAAAATTAGAGAGATTATAATAATAATTCAGGTGATACATATAGCAGACCCTTTGGAAATTTCTACTGTGGTTTGGGGAATAACCCAGTGGGAGAACTTACATTCAGCATGTGGAAGACTGAGGATCAACCCCAAGCACTACAGATAAAACTACAAAACAAAATAACAAGGGCAGTAATGAAGCAAGAGAGAGCTCTTGAGATCAGAACATTTTTTATTTTTGTAATTTTTCAGTGCATCGGTGTTTTGCTTGCATATATGTCTATGTGAGGATGTTGGGTCCTTTGGAACTTGAGTTACAGACAGTTGTGAGCTTCCCTGTGGGTTCTGGGAATTGAACCTAGGTCCTCTGGAAGAGCAGCCAGTGCTCTTAACTGCTGAGCCATCTCTCCAGCACAGTAATAGACATTTAAAACTAATATAATCATTGGAAAGTGAAATCGAGGAAATTCTTGAGAGAACAGTAACAAACAGGAACAGTAACAAACCTCTAAGAAACTAAAAAATAAAGAATCAAAAAGATGCAGGTAATATGCAATCAATAAGATTAGAAAAGGGCCTCTAAGAGATTTTTTAAAGTCCCACATCTTTTGCTTTATTCTTAGTGTCCCTTCATTCATCTTAAATGTTTTAATTCATTTTAAAGAATCAGAATCAGCCATGTCACTGTGGCATTTTAACGTGCCATAACTGAGAGTCTGTGAAAAAACCTTCCCAAGAGAAACAACAGGAAATGAGAATCGACTACATTAACCTCAGGGGCAGCAAACTTCTGAGGGGAAAAAAAGTTCACAGGGTCTAGAGAGATGGCTTAGTGGTTACCGGTGCCTGCTGCTCTCAGGAAGGACCTGAGTTTGGGTCCCAGCATCCATCTCCGGTGATTCACAACCACCTGTAATGCTAGCTCCAGGATATCTGATGCCCTCTTTTGGTCTCCGCAGGCATCCACATATGTGGCATAAATGTACACACACACACACACACACACACACACACACGCACGCACGCACGCATGCACACAGATGTTGGTGATTGTGAAGAAGGGTAGCATAGGACTTGTCTGTTGAACGTCCACTCTACTTAATTGCAGTGTGGGGGGTCAATCTCCTGGAAGCAGCGCCCTAAGTCTCACGTCTGAGACACTCTACAGTCCAAAGTCACATCTCCAATCACAGGAGGCTCGGTGGAGAGCTAAAGCAAGCTGTGTGGGATGGTGCATGCCTTGAATCCCAGCGCACAGGAGGTGGAGGAAGATTAGGAACTAAAGACCAACCTAAGCTAGGTAAAAAGGCCCTGTCTCACCTTCCCTACAAGAACAACAAAACACCAACTCCACAGCAAAAGAAGGGTGTGTTTTACATGTTGTATCAAGATTAATTTTCTTTTAGTTGAATATAAAACGTGGTGGAAACAGTGGATCCTCAGAAGACAAATATTTAATTTAACAGAATCTTTCTATCAGCACAAATGCTTATGAATTTACATGATCCTCAAAGTTTATCCAAATTGGTGGATACGTTCTTTGATTCTTTGTGTGTGTTTATGGTTGTGTGTCTATGTGGTGTGTGCATGTGTATATGTGTCCCATGCACATGCACAATGGGCACCGGGTAGTCTGTTCCGTCACTTCTTGTCTTATTCCCTTGAGACAGGTTCTCGCAGTAAACTAGAGCTAGACTGTTAGTCAGCAAGGCCACGAGTCCTTCTACCTCATCCCACAGCACTGTGGTTCACAAAACCATACCGAGGTTTTTAGACAAGTTCTGGGGGCTTAAACTCAACTCAGCTCATCATGCCTGAGCGGTAAGTGTTCTCATCTGCTGAGTTATGTACTGAGTCCGTCCCATCAAGACCAGAAGACGATTTCGGATCTCCTGGAACTGGAGTTAGAGAGCTTCAGGTGGGTGCTGGCACCAGACCTAGGGTCTCCAAAAGAGCAGCCAGTGAGTGCTCTTAAACACTAAGCTGTGTCTCCAGCCCCTACTTTAATTCTTAAGGAAAGCAAAATTTTTAATGAAAAAAATCAAAAAACTTACAAAAAGGCAGCATTGTTTTCATTTACAATTACAAGTACTGCCTTATATATTCAAGCGAGTGTCAAAATCATGACATCCAAGCTCTGTCACGTGGCGCCTTTCTTTTGCACGTCACTTTTTAAAATTATAAGAGTAGATACATAGATGCATGAAGTTGTCAAAGAGTAAACATTAATTTAAAAAGAGACTGCTGGGAGGACCCACACTCTTGGAAGTGGTACCTCTTGTCTGCTCTTGTTTGTTCTGCATCCTTTGGCTTTTCCTTGGTTTTCTGTGGGTTGGGAGGCAGACGCAGGAATGAGGCAGTGTCTATTTACCTAGCCTAGGTTGGTCTTCAATTCCTAATTCCTCTTCCTCCACTTCCCAAGTGCTGGGATTCTTGGCATGTACCAGCCCCCACAGCTGGCTTTGGCCCTCTACTGAGCCTCCTGTGATTGGAGACC